AAAAAAAAAAAAAAAAAAAAAAAAAAAAAAAAAAAAAACCTCTATAAAACAGCAAGGCAAAAGTGCACTTTCCTACAAATTTCACCGATATTCCAATTTTAGAAATCTTGACAAATGTCAGAAATCTCACCAGAGGAAATTCCAGTGGCCCAAATGATACCAAATTTGCTACACACCAAAACAAAACAAAAAAAAGGCAAAAAAAAAAAAAAGAAAGAAAAACAAAATTTGACTCCCAAACCCTGAATTCCCTAATTTCAAAATTTTGGATCTGTTACTCAGGAGCCAAAAAGGGGGGTCCTCATCTGCTGATGGGAATGCTCATCTTAGGGTGCGCGGCAAATAGCCTGCTCGACGTTCGTAGCTTCATAGCTGTACAACTCTTGGGAGAGGAAGCAGATTTTTTTTTTCTTTCTTTTTTTCCTTTTTTTTCAGAGTATGTTTTCAGAGTTTGTCCTTCAGGACGAGTAATGAGATGACATACATCGTTGCAGGTACTATACTCAGTGAGCATATCACACCACACGTAGTCGCACATCACACTGATTGAGAGACAAAGTAACCAAATCGATTATATCATTCGTCGTTCCGCAACACCCACAATCGGTCATTCGTACCGAATAACCCACCGCGGTCTATCTCAGCGTATATCGTGAGAGACTGTGGACCAACTGAAAGAGGACTTTGGTAGTTTAATCATTGCTTACATACCTACGGCTGTCCCTATATTGCACTGTCGCTGACTTGTTCACCAAATTTAAAGCCAAAGGTACCAATCCCACAAATGACGACCGTCCAAAGGTATCTCACTTGGATAAATGGTACTGTTCTGCTATGATTCTGCATCTCCTTGCTGAAAAGTCAGCAGTTTGAGGACTCCTGAGATAAAGAGTGGTGCCATGCTGAGCCAAAAACAAAACCAAGGGTCACTCCCGTCTTCACCCGAATATAACGCCCGGTGACCTGGTCATTATAGCTGTATTTGGGGCATTTTTCATTCCAGATGCAGTGATAATGACCGGGCGTTCTATTCGGGTGTAGGCTTGTGCGAACTGGAAGGAAGTGTCATCAACTTTAAGTTTAACTTAGGCTTGTGCGAACTGGTGATTTAAGAAGTAAACTGTTACTCAAGAAGAGGAGTGAAGAGTCCTTCAGGACATCCGTTAAAATTGGAACGATACACAGAAGATAAGCATGGCCCCTGCACTTTCAAGGATGACACGCATAAATCGAGAAATGGTCCAAAAAAAAAGAAGAGGAGAGAAGAGAATGATACTATGATAGGATCATAGGAGAGGGGAGAATAGGGGAAACTGTGGCTGTGACACACTTTCAGTTTGAAATCGGCAAGAAAAGACAAAGTGGCATGTGTGTCATGGGGTGAGTTTCAAAATGCACAAGTTTAGCAGGGGTCTAAAACTGCACCACTCGTTCATTACC